CCGGCCGAGCGGGAGAACCGGGTAAGGCGGGCGGCGGCACCGGGTCCCCCCCAGCAGCGGCTCGGGCCTCCCCGGGGTAACGCTGCGGCCCAGGGGGCTCCGCCGAGAGCTTCGCGCCCAGCGCTGGGGGCGTTTGTCCCACCCGAGGTGTGAAAAAAATCTTGAAAATTCCTCTTTTTTCGCGGTTTTGGGAACGTCCCTGTCTTGCGTTTCCCTGGTTTCTGGGCGCTTCAGTAAAACGCACCCGTCGCCACAGCGAGGACAGAGCCGCCGTTGTCACCCTGGGGACCCAGCGGCCTCCCGAGTTCTGCACTTGGCTTTTGTTTCTTTATGCGATTTGCACTTCGAGGGAGTCCCCTGTTGTCCCTCGTTCCTTTGTGTTCACGTCTGTCTGGAACTCAGACTTGCTCTGATCACTTAGTGGGTATTTACCGAAGCGCCACAGGTCCACAAGTAATTCAAGGTGTCCTTCGGACTCTACCTTTAAACATAGTGCCCATTTTAGCTGCTTGTGGGGGACGTTTCTGACAAAGTTTGGAAATAGGAGTAAGCCAAAAAGGAAGGCGGAGACCTGAGGATACCTGTGAGCACGAGGTGTGCAGGGCACGACTGATAAAGTTGCTTTCTGCAGATTGACAGGCAGCAGTTTGAAGAGACCGTCCGAACTCTGAATAACCTTTATGCAGAAGCCGAAAAACTCGGAGGCCAGTCCTACCTGGAAGGGTGCCTGGCCTGTCTGACTGCCTACACCATCTTCCTGTGCATGGAAACACATTATGAAAAGGTAAGTGCCATTTGCTTTAGTGCTTGGAAGGCAGTTTATTCCCTAAATTTCAATTAAGGATTTGTTCCTGCTGGGTTTTCTGTGATTTTTACTGTTTTTACAGTTTCATATTGATACCAGCTCATACTGCGAATTATTTTACATGTAGAAAAAGCCTCTTTACTTAACCAAATTTGACTAATATGTAGAATGATCCCTTGTGTTTGAAATTCCAGAAGAATTGTGCAGTTTCAGCGAGCGATAAAACCTGGCGTTGTGATGTTAGGCTCCTCTGGGCCTCTGATTTTAATGCCGTAAAAGCTGATCAAGAAACTGACCCCTGTGTTCTTCTATTACCAGGTTCTAAAGAAAATTGCAAAGTTCATTCAGGAACAGAATGAGAAGATCTACGCTCCTCAGGGCCTCCTTCTGACAGACCCTATTGAGAGAGGATTAAGAGTTGTATCCTTTAGTGGTTTCTTCAGCTGTGCACTGGTTTGTCCATCTTAGAAATACTGCCATTTTATCTCAGAGTGACATTTTATAGTTTTAGTATCTTACTGGGTTTTTTTGTTTGTTTGTTTTCATAGCCTTTTTATAGTACGTTTCCCTAACAGCATTTCTCTGCAGATTGAAATTACCATTTATGAAGACAGAGGTATGAGCAGTGGAAGATAAAACTGTGGAGTCTCAGGTATTGACAACTTCATATTACATGTTCCAAACCTGTTCCTGTATTCTCAGAGGGATAGAATCTGTCCTGCCAAGAGAGAATGTTTAGTCAATCACTTCACGTAATCAAAATCTTTCAAAATAAATCTTATGTGGATTAGGTTTTCAAATACCAGCTAAAGGTGTGTGGTTTTTTTTTTTTTTTTTTTTTTTTTTAAAAAAAAAAGGTAATAGTTGGCAGTTTGCCACTGAGTAATAATGAGGTTCAGATAATACCAGATTTAATGTTAATGAAATACAGGTCTTGATTGTGAAAAGCTGAAACTTCAACTGACACTTTTGTTTTAGGTATTCTGGGGTGCTGGTATTCTAGGTTGTTGGCAGCGTGTCCAGAAAGATTTGAAAGTGTTTATGCCTGTTGGGCAGAAAGGAACATAGAAATAAAGGGGTGAATTTTTATTTTGTTGCACAAATGAAATCCAGTGTGCTGGCTTCAGTTCCTGATAACCTTATAGCACCTGATCTCTACCTTTCCTGCTACTTTCCTTATGAAAGAACAGAATATAGATATGTGAAGATTTATGTGTGATTTTTTTTGGTTTGTTTTTGTTTTGCAATTACAATTTCTAATGCTGTGAAACTTTTGTCTTCTAGCAGATGGCTCAGCAATGGACTTGCGGTATCAAAGCTTCCCTACCTCCTACTTTAGAGTATCATTCCTCTCTCTGCTGCCAGATCCACAGTGCCATCTACTACAAGGACTAACTTCCTAAAACTCGACTCCGCATGGGGTGACCTCCCAGCTGGTCAGCATCCATTTTTTGAGCAAATTTCTAAGCAATGGGATCATTTTGGCTTTTGAAGAAAAAGCGATAAAGCTGCTTGAAAGAAATTGGGCGCTTAACCCAGAAGAAGCCTAACCCTAGACAGGAGCGCAGCGCTGTTCCTCCGTAATTGTTGAACCTTTCTGTCCATCAGTCGGGCTTGAAAAGCTGCAAGTCAGAGATGAGAGTTTTCCAGGAACGAGGCCTTTTCTTCAGCTCGGTACTGGAGGGATGCGCAGTGCCTCTGGCTGGCAAGAAGTGACTCAAGGCACTGAGCATTTTTTAAGTTACCTGTGCTGATTCTCATTGAAAGCTAAAGGGCAGAGTGTTTCTCGTTTTTTAATGCTTTTGCTGTTACTAGAAGGGGGAGAAATAGCTAGAGTTTAATACTGGGTTCTTTGCTACTACCATATCTGTGCTGTTATTGCATCTGTCTGTGCTTGTCAGAAGAGAAGGTCTATTTTTTCATTCATGAAACAGTTAAGTACAATAAAATGGATGCTGAACCAATGAACATAATCCCTACCCTAAATTTAATATGTGAAATGTAAAACTGTTTATGGATTTATTATATATAATTTATAGGAAAAAATGTTGATTTGACAAGTCGTTAGGTGTTGTGCAAGATGCTGGCAAACTGTTGAAAAGTAGAACTGTGCATTATTTAGCATCTCCCATGCATAGACATTCCTCAGCAATACCCGCAAGTGTAAACATCCCACAAACCAAGTTGGCTTAATATTTTTTATCAAACTAAGGCTCTCTAGACCATCGTTGAATTGTGAAAGGAATTCAAGAATTGAGGAAAATAAGAAAACGTGCAGAATAGTTGGAGTGTTTTGGCTTTTGGTGATACTGTAGGTGCTAATACTGGATCTGAAATTCCAGGCTTATCTCTCAGCCACTTTTTTTGTTTTGTTTTTGAGATTTAACATTTTAATTGTATGGAATTTTTGTTTTCTAAACTGTAAACGGTGTTTGCCTTCCACATCTGTTGCAATACTTTGCAGAAGTATCAATGGATCAGTAAATTTTTTCTTAAACCGCGTCGCTGGCGTCTTTGGGAGCGCTGCCCTGCAGCAAGGGGCCACGCCGGTGGCCGTTGAGGGATTAAAAAAATGAGCAAAAATGAGCAAAACTTGTGCGTTTTGGGGGCGCGTCGGTTCCTGTCACGCTTGGCGGGAGGCCGCGGCCCGCCGCCCTG